AGCAAAACTTTGGAACAAATAGCAGACAATAGGACCCAAACTCTAAGTATCAAAATCCGTAGCAATCTAAAAGTCAACCTCGAAACTACAAGCAAACAACAGCGAAATTTTGAGACAACTAGGAGACAATAGGTCCAAAACCCTAGGTATCACCATTCGTAGCATTCTAAAAGTCAACCTTAAAACTACCAGTAAAAAACAGCGAGACTTCGGGACAAATAGCAGACAATAGGGCCCAAACCCTAGGTATTACCATTCGTAGCAGTCTAGAAGCCAACCTTAAAACTACTAGCAAAAAACAGCAAAACTTTGGGACAAATAGCAGACAATACGGCCCAAACCCTAGGTATCACCAGTCGTAGCATTTTAGAAGCCAACCTTAAAACTACTAGCAAAAAACAGCGAAACTTTGGGGAAAATAGCATACAATGGGGCCCACACCCTGGGTATCACCATTCGTAGCATTCTACAAGCCAAGCTTAAGACTACTAGCAAAAAACAGGGAAACTTTTGGACAAATATCAGGCAATAGGGCCTAAACCCTAGGTATCACCATTTCTAGCATTCTAAAAGCTAACCTGATCAATTATTAAGCTAATCTCTCAATTATGTGAATCCTGTGAAGCTCAATGTTACTGAACCAGTCACGGATTTTTTTTTAGTTAAGACCCGTAAGCCATTCCTCTGTTCTGCAACAGATTAGTGCCCTTAAGCGCAACAAGGCCATCGGATTAGACAGAATAAGTGCCCGTTTACTGAAATGTGCTTCTCGAACTGTAACTCTTTCAATTACGAAATTGTTAAATTTGTCAATTACAGCCAACGAGTTTCCTAACATCTGGAAATGCGCTNGCAAGCAAAAAACAGCGAAACTTTGGGACAAAAAGCAGACAACAGGACCCAAACCCTCCATATCACCATTCGTAGCATTTTACAAGTCAACCTAAAGACTACCAGGAAGAAACAGCGAAACTTTTGGACAAATATCAGGCAATAGGGCCTAAACCCTAGGTATCACCATTTCTAGCATTCTAAAAGCTAACCTTAAAACTACTAAATGAAAAACAAAGAAACTTTGAGACAAGTAGCAGACAATAGGGCCCAATTCATGGCTATCACCATTCTAGCATTCTACAAGCCAACCTTAAAGCTACCAGCAAGAAACAGCGAAATTTTGGGACCAATAGCAGACAATAGGTTTAAAACCCTAGGTATCACCATTTGTGCCATTTTAGAAGTCAACCTTAAAACTACCAGCAAAAAACAGCGAAACTTTGGGACAAATAGCAGACAATAGGGCAAAAACCCTAAGTATTACCATTTCGGCCATTCTAAAAGTGAATCTTAAAACTACCAGCACAAAACAACAAAACTTTGGGACAAATAGCAGACAATAGGCCCAAAGCCTAGTTATCACCATTCGTAGCATTCTAAAAGCCAACCTTAAAACTACTAGCAAAAAGCAGCAAAACTTTCCGACAAATCGCAGACAATAGGGCCCAAACCCTAGCTATCACCATTCGTAGCATTTTAGAAGTCAACCTTAAAACTACCAGGAAGAAAAAGTGAAACTTTCGGAATAATATTAGGCAATAGGGCCTAGGCCCTAGGTATGAATATTTGTAGCATTCTAGAAGCCAACCTTAAATTTTCTAGCAAAAAACAGCGAAACTTTCGGACAAATAGCAGACAATAGGGCCCGCTCCCTAGCTATCACCGTTCGTGCCATTCTAGAACTCAACCTTAAAACTGCCAGCAAAAAACAGCAAAACTTTAGGACAAATAGCAGACAATAGCGCCAAAACCCTAGCTATCACTATTTGTAGCATTCTAGAAGCCAACCTTTAAACTACTAGGAAAAAACAGCGAAACCTTGGCACAGATAGCAGACAATAATGCCCAAAACCTAGCTATCATTATTCGTAACATTCTCCAAGTTAGCCTTAAAACTACTAGCAAAAAACAACGAAACTTTGGGACAAATAGCAGACAATAGGGCCAAACCCTAGCTGTCACCATTAGTAGCATTCTAGAAGCCAACCTAAGAACTGTTAGCAAAAAGCAGCCAAACTTTGGGACAAATAGCAGAGAATAGGACCCAAACCCTAGGTATCGTTATTCGTAGCATTCTAGAAGCCAACGTTAGAACTACTAGCAAAAAACAGCGAAACTTTGGCACAAATACCAGACAATAGGGCCCAAACCCTAACGTTCACCATTCGTAGCATTCTAGAAGCCAACTTTAAAACTCCTAGCGAAAGAAAGGAAAACTTTGGGAGAAATAGCAGACAATAGGGCGTTATTCCTAGTTATCATCATTTGTAGCATTCTAGAAGTCAACCCTAAAGCTACTAGCAAGAAAAAGCGAAAATTTGGGACAAATAGCAGACAATGGGGCCCAAAAACTAGGTATGACAATACGTAGCATTCTATAAGTCAACCTTAAGACTACTAGCAAAAAACAGGGAAAACTTGGGACAAATAACAGGCAATACGGCCCAAACCCTAGGTATGACCATACGTAGCAATCTATAAGCCAACTTTAAAACTACTAGCGAAAAAAAGCGACACTTTGGGACAAGTAGCAGAGAATAGGGTCCAAACACTAGGTATGACCATATGTAGCATTCTCTATAACCCAACCTTAAAACTACTAGGAAAAAACACTGAAACTTTGGGACAAATAGCAGGCAATAGGGCCAAACTCCTGGTATCACCATACGCAGCATTCTATAAGCCAACCGTGAAACTACTAGCAAAAGACAGCGAGACTTTGGAACAGATAGCAGACAATAGAGTTTAAACCCTAGGTATGATCATACGTATTATTCTATAACCCAACGTTAAAACTACTAGCAAGACACACCCAAACTTTTGGACAAATAACACGCAATAGGGTCCAAACCCTAGGCATGATCATACATAGCATTCTATAACCCAACCATAAGAGTATTAGCATAAAACAGGAAAATTTGGGGAAGAATAGGAGAGAATAGTGTCCAATTTGTCACTATGGCCATACGTTGCGTTCTATAACTTAACCTTGAAACTATTAGCAAAAAACAGCAAAACTTTGGCACAATTATCAGAGAATAGGGTCCAATATGTCACTATGGCCATACGTAGCATTCTATAACCCAACTTTAAACTACTAGCAGAAAACAGCAAGACTTTGGGACAAATAGCAGAGAATAGGGTCTAATATGTCACTATGACCATACATTGTATAACCCAACCTTAAAACTACCAGCAAAAAACAGCAAAACTTTGGGACAAATAGCAGAAAATAGGGTTTAAACCCTAAGTATGACCATACGTCATATTTTAAAACCCAACTTTAAAACTGCAAACAAAAGACAGTAAAACTTTGGGACGAATAGCAGAAATATTGTTCTATCTGTCAGTATGACCAGGCGTAGAATTCTTTAACCCAACCTTAAAACCCCTAGAAAAAAACAGCAAAACTTCGGCACAATTATTAGAGAATAGGGTCCAATATGTCACTATGGCCATATGTAGCATTCTATAACCCAACCTTAAAACTAGTACCAAAAAACAGCACAACTTTGGGGCAAATAGTAGAGAATAAGGTCCATTATGTCACTATGGCCATACGTTGCATTCTATAGCTTAACCTGAAAACTACTAGTTGAAAACAGCAAAACTTTGTGACAAATAGCAGAGAATATGTTCTAATATGTCAGTATATCGATACGTAGCATTCTATAACCCAACCTAAGAACTACTAGTAAAAAACAGCGCAACTTTGGGACAAATAGCAGAGAATAAGGTTCATTTTGTCACTATGACCATAGCAGACAATAGGGCCCAAACCCTAGGTATCACCATTCGTTGCATTCTGCAACCCAACCTTAAAACTACTAGCAAAAAACAGCAAAACTTTGGGACAAATACCAGAGAATAGGGTACGTTATGTCAGTATGGTCATACGTTGCATACTTTAACCTAACCTTTAATTTTTAATCTTTAATCATTAATTATACACGGTAAAAACATTAGGTAGAAAAAATTACATAATAACGACTAAAAATAATAATCCTAACATTATATTAACTTACGTTAATATGCCACTTAAGAAGATTTCTGGTTTCCAGGAATGCCGTGTTTAAAAATTAAGGTAGAGAAGGCGTTTAAATTTGTTTAATGAACCAGACTCTCTAATGTTACAGGGTGAGCTGTTCCAAAGGGTAGCGCCGCTGTAACTAAAACTATTTTTCATGTAGTTAGTTCTTGGAAAGGGGACAACAAGTTAGTTTACCGAGTCCCTTAGCGAATAGCTTGATTCATTTCGCTTTATAAATTTACACGTGAGATATTCTGTAACAAGACCGTTTAAAGACTTGAAAACCATTAAGACATTCTGAATTTGACGTTGAGATTTTAAGTCTTTCCAGCTGAGTTTGTGAAATAAGGAATCGGCTTCCACGTCATAGTTTGATGAAGTTATGGCACGTGCAGCACGGTTCTGTAGTTTTTGTAGCTTCTTAGATAATGTTTTGCCACAGTTACCCCAGACAAGGCTGCAGTAATCAAAGTGAGGTTGAACTAGTGAGTTGTAAATATCGAGTAGGGTGGATTGAGGCACAAATGGCTTAACTCGCTTTATGGCTCCAACAGCGGAAGCGATCTTTCTACACAGTTTATCAATGTGAGAATGCCACGTTAAATCTTCATCGATATGTATTCCAAGAAATTTCACAGAGGTAAATTGTTCAATCGGAACATTATCAATGGAAAGTTCGAGTGTATCAGATAGAGTACTTAATCTTTGCTTGAAGCCGATCAGCATAAAATCAGTTTTTGTAGCGTTCAAGGTAAGTTTGTTAGACACTAGCCATTTGCTCAGCTTTTCAAGGTCGTGAGATAGATTACACTGGATCAAATGTAAATCAGAACCAGCATAAGTAATGTGGGTGTCATCAGCTTACATTCTAGGTACGCTGAACGATAAACAGCTAGGCAAATCGTTAATATAAACTAGAAATAAAAGAGGGCCAGGGATCGTTCCCTGTGGCACACCACATTTAAGAGTGGTGAAGTCAGAGAGATAACCGTTAACTGAGTACGTTGTGTGCGATTCGTCAAATACGATTTGAACCAATCAAGAGTTTTCCCTTGAATGCCATACCGATTCATTTTAGTTGGCAATATATCATAATCAACAGTGTCGAATGCCTTTTTGAAGTCGAGGAACACTACAACATTGACGTAGCCGCGATCGATATTAAACGCCCAGCTGGGAGTGGCTTCAAGGAGAGCAGTAACTGTTGAGTGTAAAGACCTGAAACCAGATTGTTGCTCAGAGATGATTTCTTCACTATTTAAGAAGTCGTATAACTGATCGTACACAATCCTCTCGAACACTGGCGACTACGGAAATCGCTGAGATAGGTCGGTAGTTGTTTAGATTAAATGACTCGTCCTGTTTAAACAACGGAGTCACTCTGGCACATTTTCGTCAGGAAATATGCCAGACATTAGGGATTTATTAAACAGATCGCGTAACTGGCCTGAGATAATATCGGCACGCTCACGAATCAACCTAGCCGAGATCTTATCTAGCCCTGTAGCTTTAGCTTTAGATGAGTAAAGACAACACTGGTAGTAGTTGGACAAAAAGAGAACTTGTTGTAGTTTTTAGGAACAAAGTTTAAATAAACTGACTCCTCGTCCGAAGTTAAAGGTATTTGACGAGCTGGTCTGGGCCCAATAGTTGAAAAATGTTCGTTAAAGACGTTGGAAATCTCGTTAGAGTCACAGATAGAGATGTTATTTACCTTCACTTCCTTTACTTTCTGGTTGTTCTGACGACGAGACATGAGGTTATTTATGGTTCTCCAAGTCCCTTCAGACTGAATAAAACTATTGTGATAACAGGATGCTTTAGTGGTTTTCACTTCATTGTTGATTCGATTTCGGAGTTTTCTGTAATTGGCCCATTCTTGAGGATTCTTTGTTCTTACCGCTTTTCTTTTAGCAGCATCGCGACAACGCATACCCTTCTTCCAGGCTGAATTAATCCAGGGTGTTTTGTTCAATTTAGTACGTCTAATTCGAAGAGGAGCATGTGAGTTAACAATGCGCAAAAAGTTTGTTTTCCAGTTTGACCATACCAAATTTGGATCTTCTGATTCATCGAATGACTAATTTTGCTGAGCAATTTCATTTCGAAAATTTTCACGATCAAAATTTCGAAAATTTCTGTAAGAGATGGAAGAGTGTCCCTTAGATGGTAAATCAGAAGATAGTTTCCGATAAACATAGACGAGGCTATGATCGCTGATGGCAATATGGGACACTCCAGAACAGCCTACCCTCTCTGTATAATTTGTATAGATCAAGTCAATTAATGTAGATAAGGATTCTGTAACACGCTTTGGTTCATTAATCAGTTGTTTGAGCCCATATAAATCCGAAATCTCAAGTAAACGATGAGTGTTTGCATCAGGTGTAGGAGAGGCCAAATTACAGTTTAAGTCACCTAACAAATAGTACTCTAGGTCGAGAGAATCTAAGTTACGTACCTAGCAAAAAACAGCAAAACTTTAGGGCACATAGCAGAGCATAGGATCTAACATGTCAGTATAGCCATCAGTAGCATTGTATTACCCAACCTTAAAACTACTAGCTAAAAACAGCTCAACTTTGGGGCAAATAGCGGAGAATAAGGTTCATTATGTCACTATGGCTATACGTAGCATTCTATAACCCAACCTTAAAACTACTACCAAAAAAACAACTTTGGGACAAATAGCAGAGAATTGGGTCCAATATGTCACTATGGCCCTATGTTGCATTCTATAACCCAACCTTAAAACTACTACCAAAAAACAGCAGAACTTTGGGACAAATAGCAGAGAATAAGGTCCATTATGTCACTATGGCTATACGTTGCATTCTATAACCCAATCCTAAAACTACTAGCAAAAATCTGCACAACTTTGGGGCACATAGAAGAGAATAGGGTCTAATATGTCAGTATGGCCATCAGTAGCATTGAATTAACCAAACTTAAAACTACCAGCAAAAAACAGCAAAACTTTGGGGCACATACTAGAGAATAGGGTGCAATATGTCACTATGGCCATACGTTGCAATCTATAACCCACCCTAAAAACTACTGGGAAAAAACAGCACAAGTTTGGGGAACATAGCAGAGAATAGGGTCCAATATGTCACTATGGCCATAAGTAATATTTTATAACCCAACCTTAAAACTACTAGTTAAAAACAGCGCAAGTTTGAGTCACATAGCAGACAATGGGGTCTAATATGTCACTATGACCATACGTTGCATTCTATAACTCTACCTTAAACATATTTTCAAAAAACAGCAGATTTCTGGGGCACATAGCAGAAAATAAGGTCCAATATGTCACAATTTAGCGCTACATAGCAGAGAATAGGGGCTAATATCTCTGAACTAAATACAATTAAGGTTGCTTATTATCCCAGCACATGTTCGATTCCGTTCTCGCTCGAGCAAGTTTTCCTGTTTCGGTGCCAGTAGATTTATCTGGTGGGTGGAATGTCGTTTAAGGTTGTGCAGCAGATGAAATCGTTTAATAAATGCTTGTTTTAATATTATTACTACTAAGTATCTCTGTAACTACCAAGACAGTGTAATGTGTTGTCTAGGCATGTCCAGTCGGTTTCTGTTCACAGTGGCTGAAGCGATCTGTGACCCGTGACCCGCAGCTTTTGCGGTTATAAAACAACCAGCAAATGAAAATCACCAGTTTTCTTTCACTTGGCTTTGTAAGGCTTTCTCTATCAGAAATAATGGTCATACCAGTTGCCTTTAAATCAGTTGCCTTTACACTTGACTTTGTTATTCAGACAGTACTTTCTTGTATTACTCTGTCAGAAATTGTATAGTAAAAATCATACTCTTCACTAGAAGGCTGATTATGACGTATCGGAATGTACTGAATTATTTTGCTCTGCTCAGATGAAAAGCCAAGACGGTAAGTCTGTTATTGAGCAATAAGCAAGCAGCTACGGCGAATAATCGATCGCTGTTGTTATTAACCATACCCAGTAGTTAAGTGTAAGGAATCCACAGTTAGATAAACACTTTTTTTTCGTAAATACCTTTTTTGCTTAAGATACCTTTTCTTAGGTAATACACGCTAAGTTACACGCGAGGATCAAATGTCTTCGAGGACACGTTTAATACACACAAGGAAAAAGATGTCTTTTGAGAACACTTTTTGAACTTGTTCCAGGCGGGCGTAGATGTCTTGATGAAAACCTTACTTGATACAGTCGAGGATAGATATTTCGAAGACAAACGCACTTAATATTACATCTATTAAAACCTTACTTTATGCACTTGAGGATAGATATTTTGAAGAAAAACACACTTAGTTCGTGAATATAATTATTTCTATGAAAACCTTACTTAATGCACTCGAGTATATATATATTAGAAAAAAACACACTTAAAATACTGACGCAGGACTATATAGGCCAAAGTAGAATTCTTGCCTACATAAGACGTCTGTAAACTCACAAGTAAATCTAGATCTCTCGCAACATACTATCACAATAGTTATTCGAGTAGAAACAACTAAGAACATTTTGAGAATACGTTTGAACAAATGTAAAAAAATGCTTAGAACTAATAAAAGACTAGCTAAAAGATACAACCAAAACTGAAGCAGACTAACTCGCGCAGTCGAACGCGCACAAAACAAACAACCTATTTCTTCTTTTAAGTTTTATACTCGCATGCTATAGCCCTACAGAGAGCATGTAGGATCAAAATTGAAAATTGCCTCTTCATGAATTAGAGAATGCTTGGGAGAATTACTGAGGGATGAGGGATTGGCTGGATTAGCAGCCGCTGTTCGGAAAGACGGCGGGATATTTTTTAAGATTTCATTAACATTTGCTTTCTTTATAGAACGCTACCATCAACCATTGCAATAATACAGGGAAAAATTTCCTCCTTCGATTACACACTAAGAAGTAAACAAAAGAATAAAGAATTGTTCAGTCAAAAGAGAAACTAACCACTATCAATCTTTCTCCTCTTGGCTGTTCATTTCTAGCTCTTAACAGTTCATTCACTCTTCTTCTTCTTCCAGATCCTGGTCAGGATCAAAATTTTGAACAATAAAGCACCAGGTCCCCTTTGCTTTGGAAGTATAAGGAACAATATTAAATTTTCTTAATCTGAACCAATCTAGGAATTGTTCTGGCGTGGTGCGTAATACTTCTGCTCTGGCCAGATGATGCTCTTTACCCTTTTTCCAATACAATGTCTTTCCTTTGTCGTCAGCCATCTTGTCGTAGGTGTCCTTTCCTTTACTTCGTCCACAGTCCGTCTTGTCTTGGATGTTTATTTTAACAGGAGCCACATATGGGGAAGACAAGGCAAACTCGATTACTCTGACGTCAGTTTCATTGGGGTCGTCATCAGCAGGGGCAGAGCTCAGCTTTCCATTGTTGGCGATCTTGATATACCCACCGGTGGAGAACGTACCAGTGAAGCTCCAAATTACTTTGGAATAGTACGAATGAGGCTTGACGTCTTCCACGAACTCCAGGTTTCCTTTCGGCCAACCAACGGTCCCCGATACAATCCTCATGGGATAATCAGTCTCGTTGATAAATAGCACCGTGGTCGCCGAACCAACCATAAAGATGCCGATAGCGTCAAAGGCTGCTAAGACACCACGAAGTCCTTGGCCAAACATCTCTCCATTAAACTTCAGTTTCACTGTCTGGCGCGACACTTTTCCGACCGCTTTTTCCACTTCAACCGAGTTAGCCATTTTGGTAAGACCCAGGGAACCTCTAACTGATTCGACGACTTGTTTTGCTGTTGGGTTTCGAGCCAAGAGAAGAATTTTCGTCAACTTTCCTCCCTCTGATGGAAGCCGCCCGATGAACTTCAGGTACCTTTTATCTGACAAGAAAGTCAACGTTTCCTTGATGTTTGTTTGTCGATGGTTGATAATTCGATTGATAGCGTCGATCTTGTCGCTGCTGTCGCCAACCTCCTGAAATTTTGCTCTCGCCACTGTTAGAAGCGCCATAAAGCAGGTATAAGCCCTACAGTACGTCACCACAGCCCTCACGAAATCTGCAAAGTCAGGATCTTGCTCTAGGTTCGGTCCGTACTTGAATTGGAGTGGCAAGTTGACTCTGTATTGAAGCTGGCCCATAAAGTGATCATAATCGTTCCACAGATTCTCGTCGTCCAGTTCTTCCTTTCCCTTCATCTCCCGAAGGCGAGTTTTTTGGCGCTTAACACGACCCTCCAGACCGCTCAGCTCTGCACCCTGCAGTTTGTCGAAGAAGTTATTTAACTCACTGTGGACCACTTGAGCTAGCTGTTCCACCACGCTTGGTTTGGCTGGCTTATTTGATGAGACGATAGCTCCTGCAATGCTGCACAACGCTGAAAATGCCACCCCAAAAGGTCCCCCAGCAACTGTCGCAATGCTTGAAATGATCTCCAAGGTACCACACGTTACGTCATAAGGGTCACCTGTTTTGAGCTTTTCTAGTGCATTCACAGTGGTCCTCAATGCTTCGCCAACTTTCTGGATCTTGTCTTCTCCTTTCTTTTCCTTCTGCTCATTCACCCAACCATTGATATTGTCGAAGCTCTTTTGGAAATCTGGTTTGTCTTCCGTTGCTTTAGAAAACTCTATGAGCTGCGAATAGAACCTGCCAAAATTAGGAGTCTCACAGCCTTCGGACATACGCTTCATATTGGAATCTGGCGACGGGTGAACTTCCTATGTAATAAAAGTAAGAAGAACAATCTATTACAGAATGACACAGACTGTAATAACCTACAATTTAATTTGTCGATAACACTGACTGTTACAGATTGATGAAGTTTCAATCATGCAGTTAACATTTTAATAGTGATAGCTGCAACACAGAATGGTATAAAGGTGTCACCTTCATTTGTGACCGAGGCAGTTACTGCTTGTACACTGACTTGTTCAGTGGTGCGTCTCAGACTTATTGCCTTCTTTAGATCAATTAATGTCGATTCTAATCAGTCAACTGATCATTGTTTGAGGGAGACGTGGGGGTTTCAATGAGTATAAATATACTACTCAATAACCTATCAGAACAAAAGTAAATTAGTCAAGGTAGCGATTACGTGCTATTCCAACAAGGCAGACAGCCGCTAAAACAAAAACATAAAGTTATGGAAGAAACCACTAGCTGGGAAAATTGTCTAATTGCATTTAAAGAATACCAATTTAAATTGGTGAGAGCTGAAAATTAGCTCACTCCCCGCAGGCCTAGCCTTAACATAGCTGGAATTCTTTAAGATGTGGATGTTTCGCCGACAGGTGGTATTAATAGGCACATTACTGTTATTTAGCCGTGATTCAATTTTAAGGCCCATTTACATCACGCTGGGGTTAAAGTTCGGATAAATTCGCTCAGGCCGAAATTGTTCACAGGAAACCCAAAGTACACACATAAAACAAAGTATTTACCAACTGCTATTAACACAACATTTTGTTCAGTATATAAATTAAGCGTTGTTTTGAAATTATCCTTGCTTGATTTAACACCGGCAAAGTGGTTGTATTGTTACTAGACTTCTTAAAAATAATCTCTTTCAAATCACAAGACTGCACTGCTGTTGATGACGTTTACTTCAAAGTTGACTTTCTTTACAAACAACCCTTTTTACCAGAAATGGTTTTCTAACTATCGCACAATTATTGTAGAGAACAATTTAACCATAAAAAACTAGGATCGCTTATCACGCCAAATTTTGCTCGTTTCTGAACACTTAAAGTCAATTAGTCAAATTTACATTTCACAAACGTCAACAGAGTCAGTGCTCGTCGTATATCCCTAAAGTAATGTTATTTCTCTCCTTCTTGAACATTTTGTGTGCCCCTGCAAACTTTCACCGATAAACTGACGACGGGAAGCTTCGAATGATTGACAAGCAAGCTTGGGTACGACTTTTTACAACACAAAAGGCGACAGACGCTCCCAATGATATTATTAAGAACGGAAATGTGCGCGGGCGTAAGTGGTATTTAATCAGGGTACGTACAAAAGAAATATGCTCTGAACTAAAAACAATTAAGCTTGCTGATTATCTCAGTACACGTTTTATTCCGTTCTGGCTCGAGTAACTTTTCCTGTTTCGGTGCCAGTAGATTTATCTGTTGCGTGGAATGTCGCAGAAGGTTGTGCAGCAGATTGAGTTGTTTAATAAACACTTGTTCTAATATTACTACTACTAAGTATCTCTGTAACTACCAAGACAGTACAATGTCTTGTCTAAGCATATCCAGTCAGTTTCTCTTTACAGCGGCTGAAGCGATCCGTGACCAGTGACCCGCAGCTTACGCGGTGGTAAAACAAACAGCAAATGAAAATCATCAGTTTTCTTTCACTTGGCCTCGTAAGACTTTACTTTCTTCTACTTCTACATCAAAAATAATCATCATACTCTTTGCTTTAAAAGGGCAAAAAGATAAATAAGTTGCTATTTCATTGGCTTTATAATTTAGACCGTACTCAAGTCAACTACTTCTGCAAATCAGCTTTTTTCAACTTCGCACCATTTCCCGTGGAAGAAAATTTCTATCTTCGAGAACAACCGAGACCCTCGTTCACGCATTTGTATCCTCCAAACTCGACAACTGCTATTCTCTATTGTATAATGTCCCTAAGTGCGTCATCAGAAAGCTCAAATCTGTACAGAATGCTGCTGTTCGACTGATCACACGTTCCCGTAAGTACGATCACACCACCCCCATCCTCCTCGATCTTCACTGGCTTCCTATTTCTGAACGAATCAAATTCAACATTCTACTTCTCACCTACAGGACACTCCATCTGCAGTCTCCTACCTAAATTCAAGAACTGATAACTCGATCCTCATCGTCTAGACTAAGAATACTCCGCTCATCATCCACACTTCGTCTTAACCCTGTTAACTTTAACCTAAAGACCTGTGGATCCAGAGCTTTTTCTGTCTTAGTTCCTGAACTTTGGAAGAAACTACCCACTGATATACGTTCATGCGATAATCCAAGTATATTTAAACGTAAACTGAAGGTGTATCTTTTTAAAAATTATTATTTTAGCTAAAAAGAATTTTTAATTTATTTTCTTTTTATCATTGAACCCTGTCTTTGTGTCTCCTAGAACTTTCTTTTTAGCTCTTTTGCTTTTGCAAAACGTTTAGAACAGATCTAGATAGGCGCTATAGAAATATCCATTGTTATATTTATTATAACTTTCTTGCACTATTGTGTAAAAATCATACTCTTCGCCAGGAGGCTGATTATGATGTATCGGAATGTACTGAATTATTTTAGTTCTCAAATGAAAAGCCAAAGCGGTAAGTCTGTTATTAAGCAATACGCAAGCAGCGTGAACTATCGATCCCAATAACTAGAGTGTGTAGTTTTCCAAACATTCAGTAGTAATGATGATTCACAATGATTCAAGCTAATATTTTGACGGATTTGACTTACATGAAACATAAGCTTACATTGACAAAATGTGATGATGGCAGGTTGCTGCATAGATATCCTGCCGTCATATTAACGAGGTGCAAAGTAGCGCTATTACTCACCTCGCAAACTTCACCGATGAACTCAGTCACGACGAGACGCCTTGGAATGAGTGACGGGCAAAGAAAAGATGAGGCCTTTTATAACAAAGAACAGCAAGACATGCCCAAAATTAGCTTTCTGTGTGTGGGCGTTATTTTTGTGGAATAACAATGACGCAAGGCTGATTACTACGTAGAAAACGTAACGCGACATGATAGAGTCCAAACGGAAGGCCAAGAATTCCAACCGTGGAGAGCTGTTTCGACCCGGCTGGGTCTCGTTAGCTCGGTATAGCAGCATAAAATAAACCCTACCCCATATAGCCCATATAACGGAGTACCCCCGGGGCGTTACATGCATATCCAAAACCCACGACTGTGAACAATAGGCAAAATCCAGAATATGTTATTTAAGTGGCTTTTAATCGTGGTACTTATATACAAAAGAAATATGCTCTGAAATACATCACTTAACTTTTGCGGTTATCTGCATGTGGGATTCCGCGTTTTTGCTCAAGTTAAATCTTCCTGTTTTCCTACCAGAAGATTCATCGCTTTCACTGAGTTATGGAATGTAGGCGTGGATTGTGCAGCACATTTATGTGAACTAAAGAAGACCTTTTCTGAACGGTTCTAGAACATTTTTGACGTGTTGCTCTCAGCTGGAAAGCACAAACTCAATTCTATAATTGGCTGTCACGGTAGAATAAAGTGTGCTGCACTAAGAGATATTATACTTTCGCTCGAGATAGCTTCATTTATATTATTATCGGCTGAACGTTTGTCCAATAAGAGCCATTTTATGCTAGGTAGGTATTGGAAGGGCGTGCGCGATTTAAGGCGCGATATCACAAGGCATCAGAAATTAATTCTGTTAACCTTCCACGTTAAAAGGGCAAAACGAAAGATCAGTTGTAAACCAATTGCCAGGGTGCTAACCAGTATAAGGCATACCGAGGCACTTGCCACTGTCATTTCTTTCGTTTCTGTTGTTTCTTTTTCGAAGCAAAGAAAAACACTGCTAGATACCTGGGAATAGAATTTAGTCATGGACATTGCCTCAGTCATAATTTGTTTCTGGCTACGGCCCTTATTGCGAGACAATTTTGCATGTAATCAATCTTGCATATAAATTAACGTGGTAAAATTTTATAGCCTTTCTATAACGGAAAATATTTCACACTCATCAAACATAAAAGCTCGGGAAAACATTTTCGAGAGTGCGGCAGAACTGACACAAACGACCAAGCAATACACTGTGAAGAATAACAGCAAATCGGTGCCACCTAAACTACAAATCAATTGCAACTGTTGTTTTTTGGTTAGGGTTAATAGTTTACCTGTATCTCGGTAAGTAAATGTGCGCGCAGGGATCATAGAGTAGTTTCAGCGTACAAGGGTCTACTAAATTATTTTATCCTGCTTAAAAAAGCCGTTTGAGGCAAAATTAGTGCGTGTAAACGCGCTCGTAAACTCTTTTGAGAGTCATCTGTCGACTCTTCCACCCTATTACTTCGAAATCCGATTTTACGATAACTACAGAAATTCTCGCGCGCTCATTGGCTAATTTTCACTTTTAATAAGGGGACAGACACATGAATTCATAATTTATACGATGTGCCAACGAGCGAGAGCGGACAATTTGACAATTTATTATTGTAAAATACTAACGTCAATTTGTTAAATGTACTTATCTTTGTTTTCCTGCTCTGCTTCTTATGACATATTTGTATTATAGTTAAGTCAGATATGCTTTGGTGATCATGTCTTTTATTTATTGACCGCTCATTGGTGAACTAGAACACACAAAGAAACTGAACCTCGTAATCTAACGAATTTAAAACGGATCCTCGTGTTTTTCTAGTAATTACACGTCATGATGATATTACATTACTTATTTCGACCTATTTCGACCTGTTCCCATAACGTGTCAAAAAGCAATTTTTCTACACATGGTGCGCCATAAACTTACAGTTAATTTTAGTTTAGAATTAAACTTCAATAATTTTCACAGATGTATCCACGTGTTGACGTAATTCCTTGACCTGCATCTTTGTCATCGCACATGATATTATTAAAATGCCCTTGGGTCCCTGAACTGGGATACCAGATTTCGCCACAAAGTTCCCGTGAATCATCAGAAGGCTCGCCTCTCTGCCAGCGGCTGTCATCTGTCGCCACAGTGACACCAGGCGATCCTGCCTCGGTCCATTTCCACGTTCCACTTTCTTTACGGAGTCCAATGTAATAGTGAGTGTAACTACCGGACTCAGTCACTTTATCTGCGAGAAAGCCTTTCACTTTGTTCCACTCGTCTGTGGTTTCCATGGTAACTAAGTGAGCTCCCATTTCGCGGCAAGCCTTACGGGCCTCGTTCCATGTGCTGTCAACATCATGGAAAGTATAGCAGTCGTTCACCGCGCTGCCGCTAGGTGAACTTTCTACAGCTGAAACGTTTAACCGCATGGTCATATGAGAAAAATCAGCAAAACTCTACCGCTCAATATTGTGCTTGAAATTAATCATGTGTACACTTGACTAATAAAACACAAATCGACCAAATAAGGTTAGAAACGCAACAAAAAAAAAAGCAAAAAAAGCCTCGACAAACAAACCAAAAGCTCCTCTGACCTCCCAAGTTCCCGCGAACGCAATTTTCTTGCAACTACTAATATATTTTAACCACAATTTGACCAAGAAATACGGGGAATTCTTGAAAATGTCCACGAAGAATCAGCCGCTAAATGGTAGGTGTTTAAATTGTTCCTTTGGTTGCGGATCTTGAAGTCAGGCGGATAGAGCACTCGTGCCCTTTTGGGGCCAAGCACTCTTTTAATGAAATTGTCACACCCCCATGCTTATGTTATGTCTGTCTATCGACATGCTAGTTCTTACTGAACAAGGTTTTTACTTTGTATTCGATTTTCAAAAAATGAAAGTCGTTTGAATTTAAGTCAGTGCTATTATGGTCAAAAGTTTGCAGTTGTTTGTCAATTTTAGAGAGTAAAAGTGCTCGATACACACGCCAAGCTTTCGCTTGAAGAATTTTACCATTCGTTTCACAGGTAAAAGTGTTTATTAATTCCCGAATTCTTAAGACATTGCATTTTTTTTTCTGTTTGTGGCGGCAGAATACTTGCAATGCAATAGAATTCCAAATTATGAAATTCATGATTTCCCAAAACTTTGACAGCTTGTTGGAGCCCGAATTGTTAAGAAAGAGTTAGATTTAATTAGAAATAATATTCCTTAGTTTCTAAGAAAACCATAATCAGTAACAGTGTTACATACTGGAGAAGGATCTACACTGACTATAACAAGAATTTAGAACATGAATGCATAGTGTTATCATTAGCAATCAAGCGGTTTTCACGAAAAACAGAAAGATTCAAGCAGTACCGGAATGCTATGTAGACTAGCCCGAGTACAAGCTTCAGATCATAAAATAGTGACAATTAAACGCAAATCCGAAACTCGCACTTGAACCCAAAAGAATGACAATCCCCCAAAATGATCACTACGTATGCAATGGCTGCACTTAATACATACAGCTAGCTGAGCCCTTATTAATCGAAATTCTCAGTAAAAAGCTTAACAATTAAGTCCAACCTTTTGATATTTGGGAAATAACGAACAACTTAGCAATGATCTTGAAGGGAGCCATAGACTTCATCATCAACCTGAAAACGATCAAGTAAGAAATAAGAAGTAAGCGATTAAATCAAAATGATAAAAATGTTTTTACCAGAAAGTTATCCTTATCCTCGAGTTTCTGCACGAATTCTAGTTCCTCTCTCTAGATCATGCTATCAAGGCATTTCACCAGACACCGACAGCAAAGCAACCAGGCTGAACACATGTTAACCTACTTTGGAGGATTAAGCGTTGTTCCTTGATGTTTAGATTGGAAAAAACTGTAATGTACTCAACAAATATTCAAACCGTAGGCAAAGGTATGCAAGAAGATGTCTCTCTTTTTGGTTCATGAGTCTTGTGATGGTGGTATGATTGTTTACAGGTCTTGCACAGTACCCTTTACCAGGTTAGTGTCAGTTTTCACGCCGTCTCCTGAGATAAACCACTGAAGCTAATATTCTGTTAGAGGAAAAGCCGTTTATGTAAACCTTTTTAAAATGACAATCCTTTTAATTGATTTCACTTAGATAATACCTCATTTGCAAAAAAAAAAAAAAATGACTAGTTTGGTCTCGTCGTCACAATCCATTCACGCTAAAATTTTATTGGCATTCCGTGATCAACAGTAATATGCAATTCCGTGATTTCAACAGGTGGTGATTTTTTGAGAGGCTAAAAAAAATGGAAGTACGAGTCTAAACAAATCGCCATCTAGGTTGTATGAAATTCATTCATTTCTCAACTCGTCAACTTTGCTGTATGAAAGAAGTAATAATAGTAATTGTCAGTGATTTCTTAAAAGCTACATGTATTTGAACGAATAGTGCTATATATTATTCTTAGAACGTTTCTCGATGTTATCGATAATTAATGCGTTTCGTTTAAACAAAGGAAATCCTAAACAGGCAGAGATTTTTGCGATTTTTATTTCCGTTTTCTTTTAAGTTCACCTGACTCTTCCATCGTCGAAAATCTAAGCTTGGTTGCCTTTTCAACTGTCTTTTCGTATTAAAAAATGTGATGTAGCACACCCTGTCGCGCGTAACTGCTTCCTATCAGGAAATCTTACCAATCTCTTTCGTGTTTGGTATATTACTTCAACAATTGATTATGTAAATAATTGGTGACTCACGTTTCAGAGAGATTAATATCCGAGCAATTTTTTTCCACTGGTAAGGTTTTCCAAAGCTAAAGAAGCTGAAGTTTTCATCTACGATAATCAAAACGCATGAAAACATTGGAGAATAACCTAGGTCCCTAACATATGTTCCCCCCTGCTTTGATTTGCAGGTTGAATCTTGTGTCTAAGTTAACTATTTGCTCTGCACATCGTTAAAAATTTAAACTTCAGGTTGTCTTTTACAATTACCTAATATTATGTATTGTGACTATGAACTGGCGTTAATTAACTATATGAGCTCACGAGCAACTGAAGAACTCCTTTCCAAGCAAAAGACCGCAGTAAACAGATTAATTCGTCTGTTTTAAGTCAGAAGTAAGCAGATTCTTTCACAAATTGATACCGTCTTGTTTTGTTCCAGTTTTTTCGGTGCATTTACGCGCCTTTCTAGAAAATTAAGATAATATTTATCCTTTTCATATATCAATACTTCATCCACTAAAAAGAGTAGACTGTAGAGGAAAACCGAGTTGTGTCCTTTTTTATTATTATTATCTGTTTCATTTTTCTAGAGCTGCAGAGATTGAACCTTTCAGTTAAGAATATGAGGCAGGAGATATTTTGCGATGGCAAGGCAAATCAGAGAAATGTCCTGTACAAGTAGTGATTAAGCGGTGCAGACTAAATTTCTCGAGTCAGAAATCCACTGACAGCACTGTCTCCAGTGTACGCCACTAATTGCGCATCATATCTTCTTCACACAGCGCAGAAATGAAGATTGTCTCCACTGTGGGATGTGCAATGCTTCTCGTGGTTTTGAGTTTTGGTAATAAGATTATGTAACTTTAATTACGTTAATTTCCCTGTTTAAAGATTACATATAACAGCTTTTAGAAATCTTATTGAAATATGTCAGCATCAAGAACGTAAGTGAAAAAGTTAAGAATTGATTTGCAATGTTTGTTTCTCATTTTAGCCCCAGTATACGCTATTCCCGTTATTGTCACATCTTAAAACTATTTATTTATCTATCATATTGTTATCAATTCGCTACTTTGGATTTTGTATTGGTACTGCAGCATACTGAAGTCATGAACATCAAACTTTTCTGATCAGAATAATTTTTCTGTTGGGCGCAAATGATTAACGTAGTTGCAACATTCATTACTATCTTTCCATTAGATTTGAGTAGATTATCTTGATTGCCTAAAACTCGGGAGTTACAATTCTCGGCGAGACCCCTCCAGTCTAAAGATGAACTTATCAACAGCTTCTAAAATAAACGAAAAAGCCATACCGATTGAAGGAATTGATTACCTAAAAGAAAGTTTTCTGCCTATACTTAGGGTGTAGTTGAAGTTGTGAGAAGTCGATGGAGTTTATTTATCATCGGTACGTGTTTTTAACAGGCCGAGCATCATCAATACCGCATGATCGACTAAATGATACAGATTTGACAGCAGGTAATTATTGTTCATTTGTACGTATAAAATAGAAACCAGAAACTGCAAGGGACCGCGTACGATAAACGCTGCCCACGTAGGATCTACAAGAGATCTGAAAATAGCCAGTATATTTATCCCTGTTAAAAAGGCAGGGTTGGCGGACAAATCTTCTGGGCCACATTTTTAACTTACTGAGATGCTCGTCTATACTAAGTATAAATTTTTGTTAAGATTATGGCTTATAACAGTATCGTTACGTTTCTGTAGCAACTGAAGATCAATAAACTCGTCTGTAAATAGAGATTTAGCGAATTTCAAAATAGAAAAAAAAGGGTCATTACCTCATATAAGTAAAAATCTGTTATTTGCAGAACTCGGGTAACTTCTTCACACCTTAACAAAGTCAAGATATTTTAAGTTGCTTTTTTGATTACTTTAATTGTAGTTCCTTTAGGTAGAAAAACGGCAAAATTGAGATACAAAACTGAAATACCGCTTAACTGCTACTGAGAAATATTTAGATGGATTCCGAATTATATAATGTATGACGTCACTTTTTTTTTGAAACAGTCAAATGGTCGATATCACAAAAGAGCCGTCACCTAATAAAGGACAAACACAACAAGATATATCTAGCAAAATAGCAATACATTTTTAAAAATTATTTTTCAGAAGGCAAAGGAGAGAGGTCCGCCGTGTTAACACCAAGATTAATTCTAGTGAAAAATTTGGTACAAAGAGTGACAGGTCTCAGTGACACTGATGTTCTTGGTGTTTACAACTACGGTTGCTGGTGTGGTCCACGAGGACAAGGAAAAGTCGTGGATAACTTTGATTAGTACGTATATAAATCTACCATATTAATTACATTAAGATTGGCTTGCTCTCTACCCAAGTGGTCTAAGAAAAGCTAGCGAGTTGTTTCTTTTCTTTCTGTTTCTTTTTCTATGTTTGCTTTTTTCATTCTTTTATTCTTTTCCTTCTTAACCCTGTCTTCTCCATTTTGCCCGTCCATCTTTTCTTTTTTCATCGTTAATTTTGTATCTTTTTATAATTAGCTGTTGCAAAGTCCATGATTTTTGTGAGAACGAACTCCAAGACCATGACAAGTGTGGTGGTAATCTAGATAACATGAACAGAAACTTCAAGTACGATACGAATACCTACAGATGTTGTAAGTTTATTGATATTTTGTGC